ACAGCCTTGACAATATCAATGAACATTTCTTGTGTGTAGATTAGGCTTCAGGAGAAAGAAAAGTATGGGTGAAGGATAAGTGTTCTGATCTGATGCACAGCCTGAAATTCATGAACTTCCTAGTAACTAACCTGTCTCAATTTTGGTAAGACCAGATGCTGTCATCCTTTATTCATGTGGAGTATTAACCTTTCTTGGCAAGGAGTCCCAATAGGGTCAGGGCTACTCATGAAGTAAGGTACTACTTAATCATAGAATCTCAGAAATGTAGGACTGGAAGGCACCTTGATAGGTCATCGAGTCCAGTCCCCTGCACTAAGGTAGGACTAAGTATTATCTAGATCATCTGTAACAGGTGTTTGCCTAACCTGTTCTTAACAACCTCCAATGACAGAGATTCCACAATCTCTAGGTAACTTGTTACAGTGCTTCATTACCCTTACAGTTAGGAAGTTATTCCTAATGTCTAACCTAAATCTCAATTGCTGCAATTTAACCCCATTATTTCTTGTCTTGTCCTCTGTGGTTAAGGAGAACAATTTATCACCCTCCTCTTTATAACAATGTTTTAGGTATTTGAAGATTTATGTCCCCCCTCAGTCTTCTCTTCTCCAGACTAAACAAATCCAGTTTTTTCAATATTTCCTCACAGGTCATGTTTTCTAGACCTTTAATCAATTTTGTTGCTCTCCTTTGGACTTTTTCCAATTTGTCCACATCTTTCCCCAAGTATGGTGCCCAGAGCTGGATACAGTATTCCAGTTGAGGCCTTCAGTGCTGAGTAGAGTGGAAGAATTACTTCTCGAGTCTTGCTTACAACAGTCCTACTAATGTTAATTAATGAAATTAAAGATGGCAGAATCTGGTCCCGTGATAAATGAGGGGGGTAGCTTCCTTTTATGGACACCCAGCCACTCAGTGGCTATAGAATCCTCCTTAGCAGCTGTATCCTAATTGCCTTACCTTTAAAGGGTTAAGTGAAGCTTAACCTGAGTTGGCACCTGACCAGGGAACCAATAGGGAGGGTGTACCCTTTCAAATTGGAAAAACTGCTGGGTGTGGGGTTTTTTTAATTTGTCTCTTGGGCTGGAGAGAGGGGAAGGCAGCAACAAGCTGTAAGCTTTAAGCCAGGTATGGGAAATCATTAGCATCATACCTAGAAACTCCTCATTTGGAACCCCAGATATGTAAGTAGCACAGGAAGAGTTAAGACAGATGCGATTAGGAACCTTTTTCGTTGTTTTGGTTTGTGGATTCCTCTGTGCAAACCCCCGGTGCTTTTGTTTTGTTTGTAACCTTTAAGCTAAACCCCAAGAAAGTTATTTTTGGTGTTCAATCCCTAAAGCCTCAGTTTTTAGATGTGTTTCTTTCTTTTTTAATAAAATTTACCTTTTTTTAAAGAATCCTTTGATTCCAAAGTCCTTAGACAAGGGATTGGTCTGTGCTCACATTGCTAAGGCAACTGGTTAGTATTTTATTCTCAAGCCTCCCCAGAAAAGAGGGTGAAGAGGCTTGGGAGTATATTTGGGGGGGATAGGGATTCCAAGTGACCCTTCCCTGAATATTTGTGAAAATCACTTGGTGGTGGCAGCAATATCTGTCCAAGGCAGAAGACTGTGCCCTGGAAGAATTTTCACCTAAGATGGTAGAAGATAAGCTTAGGGGGTCTTTCATGCGGGTCTCCACATCTGTACCCCAGAGTTCAGATTTTGGGGGGTATACCCTGACAGGTCCTAAGGTCAGCAACTGTCCTATATGATGACCTGGTACTTGAATTGGCAACCAGTTTCATCTATCTGCAGGCAAATGATACAAGGTGTGTAAGACAGAATGACAGCATGTTACACTCACCTTACACAGGAATAAGTCCCTCATTCAGAAAGGTACTTAAGTAGGTGTGTAAATTTAAGCATGAGTCACTCTCTTTGAAGTCAATTAGACTAAGCACAGGCTTTTACCTGCTTAAGGACCTTCCCGGAACAAGGCCTAAATGACTAAACAAAGTAGAAGGCAGCGGAAAAGTAGACCCATTCATCTTTAATAATTAGACAACCACAGAGTTAACACCCAAACATGAAAGCAATCCATGTAGGTGTTAAGTGTCTGAATAAATATGAAAGCTGGGCTGTTATTTTTTTAATCTTTTTCCACAGTGCAAATAAAATCATCCCCTCACCCTCCCCTTCATGTTGGTATTCATCTGCTATTGCAGAATAAAAAGTAAAGCCCGCCTTGCCTAGTTCAATAGGTCTTGCCTGTTTACTGGCGTGAAGGTTTCTGAGTCAGGGTCAGTACTAATGAGGAAGAAGGAAGGCTTACATAGATGCTCGTCAGCTAGACACATAAATAAACCAGCAGTCTGTCTATTGGCTACTTGAAGCCCATTTGGGGTAGAAGGAAAGTAAGAAGACTGAGGGTGGAGGGGAGCAGGGCAGGCTGTGTGTCACTTACATTACAGATTTCACCATTTAAAAGGCTAAAAGTGACTAATAGCCTGGCTCTTGGTTAGATCCCATCTGCCACCTTTGTTAGGTCATTAAAATACATACTAATGTCTAACTAATGAATGCTGAATTATTAGCATAAATATGCCACCTTTTTATTTATTTATTTCACCAAGAACATGTTTTCCTCTGTTTAATGACAATAATTTATCATATTAAACTAGAGCTGCCGGTTTGTTTTCATATTTGTGTTTTTCTGGTTTTTCCCCCCCGAGACATCTGTGAGAGGGCGGTCCCGGGTAAAATAAATAAATAAAAGCCTTTGTAACGATCTCCACAAAGCCAAAGCCAGTAAATTGCCTTGATTTACCACTGATGGCCCTCATTTCTTCTTCTCATTTGCTTAGTTTATTGCTATTTTTCCTGTACTATTGTCCTCTCTTTTTCTGTTTAAGGCTTGCCCAAAAAAAGAACAGCAGAGGAGTCTGTACGAAAAAGGAGACTATTTAGAGTCGCAGGGGAAACAAATAGGAGAGAACTTCATTTTCACTTCTAGTTTGCTTAATGAATAAACCACAATTGTGCCTTTAGTTAGGTGGGGCCAGCTTTAAACACAAGCAATCCTCACTGAGGCCATCCTCTGTGCGAAGCCCTGATTCAGTAATTCACAGAGTATTCTGACCTTCCTCCCCAAACGGACAGCCCAAAAGGGAGGAATTTAGAGTTGTGAAAAGCTTTCATAAAAAAACTTGGAGCCAAGCAAAACTGACCTTGTTTGCAGTTTCATTGCATATCGGAAACTTGGGCCATGTTCGGTGAAGATTTGTCTAGAGCAGAGTTTGTGGTCCTGTTTTAACGTGAGTTAATTGATTGACAATTAACTAACATGGCTGTGAACATTAGTCTAGACAGTCCATAGACACTTGTTCTAAAGTTGGTGGTTTACCCTAGGACTCATCCTCTATGTTTGCGGAATGTCTAGACTAGCATTTGCAATTGTGTAGCTAACTGGTCATCAATTAAACTGAATTAAAACTACCCTCAATGCACCATTTAGTTTGAGTCAAGCTTGCAAACCATTTAGCAAGCCTGGTCTAAGTTTTGAGCAACCAGGAGCCCAAGGTGTGGTTTGGAGTGGAGTGATTTTAACCTGAAAAGAAGCGAAACGTGCCCGTCGGACTAAGGTTTGGTTTGTGCTTCAGCTTTGTTAGAACCAACAGTAGAAAGTTAAATCTTTGTGAACTAATATTAAACAAAAGGTTCACATAAGACCCTGCAAAACAAAATGAGACAGCTCTAAAGCAAACATTTTGCCTATCCCTGATCTTTCCCAGACCAACGATGCAAAGAAAAACATTTAGGGTGGGCATCTGCCATCCCATTCCTTCCCCTTGACTGAGGTTTTGACTGTCCTCTTCCCTTGGTCTCCGCATCTCCTACAAGTGTTATCTACACACAGACACACACATTTAGAAACACAGAAAGGGGTTTTATGAGAGTTGTACATAATCAAAACAAGCCATATAAGATGGTATTTGTATCATGGTTTGACCTCATCCATATTGACCAGCTATATCATGTTATGGCCAATTTGGGCCACAATCATACTAACATTTCTTCTGCCTTCACCTGACAGTCATTCCTACACCTGCATATCTCTTCCCCCCCACACTGCGGCCTTAATCCAGTGGAACACACTCTCAAACGAGCAGAATACACTGGATGATCCCATTAGCTGGATGTTTCTTCTAAAACAGTCAACTGTCAAAGAATAAACAACAGTGACGTTTAGCGACTCTTAATTTGGCTTTCATCCTCCCCATCTCTCTTGATTACTCCTCTCAGGCTGTCTGCAGTCTCAGAATGACAGCACTGCACTAGGTCATATGCACCACTTGATCCACCACTGACATCCTCTAGCACCTGGAGACTCCACACATTGTAATGCCACAGACAGGGTGACCAGATGGCAAGTTTGAAAAACCGGGATGGGAGTGCGGAGTAATAGGCACCTATTTAAGACAAAGCCCCGAATATCAGGACTGTCCCTATAAAATTGGGATATCTGGTCACCCTAGCCACTGCTGTAAATGGAAGAGTGTTACTGAACATGTTAGTAAGGGATAAATGTTACACAAGTATTGCACATGGAGTTCGCCTATTGTTTACCGTTTTAGCTGTTTCTGCCCGGCATTTTAATAGGATTAGCCTGTTAAAACCAGCAGTGTTTATCTGCAAGATCCTCTGACCTTCCCAGGTCTCTTCCTAACACACCTTCACACCAGCTTGCAACACTGAGAAGCAGACACATTAAACGTGCACTGCCAGTACCTTCTATCAGAAACCCTGGCAACTGTACACTCAGTTGGTGCACTGTTGTTCTTGTACTTTGCACCTCTGTGACTTTACTGTATCTTTTTATGGTCTGCTTCTATTACCGTCTCTGCCAGTCAGCAGAATAGAAACGCCACGTATGAACAAGACACTCTGTTCGTGTGCAGTCGAACACCAATATCTGCTCACACAATGGGTAAGGTGGGAAAAGAGGTTACTTACCCGGAGGAAGGAAAGATCACGGTTGTGTTCAATGTTGGTGATTTCCAGGTTGCCCATGACTACTTCACAGTTCTCATAGTACTTGCGCAACGCACGATACTGCTGCTCAAGATCAGAGAGAGAACTCAGCTTGTTCTCAGTACCAGCGCACACTGCAAAAAAGAAAAAAAAATGTGTATATTATATATAATGATCAGAGACACAGAAGCAAAGTGGGGAACAAAAGTTGTAGACACAGATACACCTAACTGCAATAAAAGTCCTGTTTTAATCTCTGTATTATGTCATAGAGGAAAATGTTACAAGTTGCCTTAATAGCAACAGCAGTGACAGGTAGCGACAAATGTTCTCCATAGTAATCTCAGCAGTATAATATGCGTGACCAAAGGAGACAACGTTGTGGTACTAACCAGAGAACAAGCAAAAGGCTTTAAAAGGCAGAAATGTAAGAAATATTACAAAGCAATGCGTAAGTAAGAAGTAAGGGCAAAATCATAGTTTCAGCGAACCCCATAGGAGATTTGCCATTGACCATAATATGTCTCTAAATCTAGAAGGGCTATTCATAGTTTCAATGATTTTATGACCAGAAGGGACCAAACTATCATCTATTCTGGCTTTCCTCTCTAACACAAGCCAGAGAATTTCATCCAGTTACTCCAATAACTTGTGTTAGACTATAGGAAGACTTCCAGAAAGATATTCCCGTCTATAAAGATTTTGTAGGAAGTACAGAAGGAATAAACAAAGAAAATTCCCTTTTCTCTTCTCTATGATGATTATAATGAAAAATACACACATATGTTAAGGATCAGGCAGACTGGAAAGACTTCAAAAACATTTTTTTGAAGTTTAGTTCCATTCTGAAAACTCACTGTAGAAATGGCATCAAACAGGACAGCCCATGTGTGCTTCTTTCAGTGGATCCAAACAAAATCTGTTCATTTACAAGTAAAAAAATGTTTTCCCCCCCACTTAATTCAAACTCAGCCGGATTCTGAAAGTCAAGCTGGTTTCTTTCCAGGTGCTACCTTCCTTAACAATAAAGATTGCACACTCAAAACATGGTTAAAGGAACATGGCGAGATTCATTTTCTTTGAAATGGATTTTCTTTATGCTTCTGATGAAGCACGCTTTAAATAATATGCCATCTTTTAAAGATTTTTTTTTAAAGCAGGTAAGGAATTTTCCAGTTCATCTGCTAATGTTTAGAAAGGTCATTTGCCCCTTTAAAGCAATCTTATAACTAAAGTATTTCAATCCTTTCATTTACAGTTTAGAGAAAAAATACCTACAATCCTTTTATTATGTGAAGATGCTCCTGTGCGTTAGCTTATATATGGGCATCTCCTCCCGATGGAGTACTTGTCCAACCGGGGACGGGGGGAGGGCGGCGAGCCCGCCGCGGTTCCGCTGGCGGACGGAGCGCCAGGAGGAGGGCGGAGAGCCTGGCCGGGGCCCCACTCTCCCCGACCGGCCGGAGTGCCGGGAGGAGGGCGGCCAGCCCGCCGCGGCTCCGCTCTCCCCAGCGGCCAGAGCGCCGGGAGGAGGGCGGCCAGCCCGGCCGGGGCTCCACTCTCCCCGGCGGCCAGAGTGCCGGGAGGAGGACCGCGAGCCCGGCCGGGGCTCCGCTCTCCCCGGCGGCCAGAGCGCCGGGAGGAGGGCGGAGAGCCCAGCCGGGGCTCCACTCTCCCCGGCGGCCAGAGCGCCGGGAGGAGGACCGCGAGCCCGGCCGGGGCTCCGCTCTCCCCGGCGGCCAAAGCGCCGCGGGGAGGGCGTCAAGCCCAGTCGCGGCCCCGGTCTCGGGCCGGAGCGCCGCGCCGCCCCCCTCCAGGTGCCGCCCCAAGCACATGCTTGGTGGGCTGGTGCCTGGAGCCGGCCCTGTATAGCTCTATACAGTGAAACATCAGTGTAGAAAGCCCAAATGCATAAACAGATACACACAGGAAATAGGGTATATAACTTGGAGGGTACAAACTGCCTCAGAACCATATTGAGAAGACTACAATCCACTGCATTAAAGTACATGACTTGACAGGGGTCTATAGGACAAATTAACTCAAACAATGGAAGTGGAGTACATACTGGAGCAGTGATGGAGCCGAGAGGAAGGATGCTCCAGTGGCTCACGTGCTAGCATGAGACTCAGGAGACAAAGGGTTAATTCACTGAGACTTTCTGTGTGAGCTTGAGCAAGTCACTTAGCTCCTCGGTGCCTCAGATCCCATCTATAAAATGTGGGTTTTGTTAAGGATAAATGCATTAAAAATTGTGAGCTGCTCAGATATTATGGTAATGGAAGCCGCATAAGCACCTAAGAGAACTAGATTAGATAGTGATTTAGAGAGAAAAAAGTGAAGGGTAAGAGTTTTAAAATATTTTAGGATGGAAAGTTCCCCAGATACCCTTCCAGTATCTCCATTACCTCTTTTTCTCCCCAAGAAGAGATTCTCCAAAGGCGCCTTCATAGATTACATGCCACTAAAAAAAAATAATAATAATAATACCTGGGCAGCACAGGCATATGAGCGGTAAGTGTATTCCTTATATCCATGACCTGCCTGTATGTTTTATAATTGTAAGGTAATTTTTCAAATCAGTACAGGTCAGTTTTTAAGTAGTGCTCCAGAAGGGAGTGGAGTTGAAAAACAAATGTTATCTCAGCAAAAGAAATAAATCCCATAAAAGGAAATCCCCAGTGTTACACCTTTTCACAGACATTCTCAGCAATGAAGTTCTCAAGGTATCTCTCCTCCCCGCCCATGCAATGAGGCACTACAGGGTACAATACTAAATGATAAGAAGCTCCTCCAGGAGTGAACTGTCTTCCCAATAATGACAAATCCCCTAATGAGAACCATCCAAAGAAGTTCTTCATGGGAAGATCTAAGGATGCAAGACTTCAGAATGCCTCCACCCTCCCTTTGCTGGGACTTGAACTCCTAGATGAAGTAGAGGAATCTGATATGATTTTTTTTTTACTGGAAGATATAACTAGCAATGTAAAAAATGATCCCTGCAGTGACTGAAAATGCAGGTCCTATTTATAATAACAAAGGAGTTCTGGTTTATCCGGAACAATGTCAGAATCCCCGCTAGGAGTCAGAATCATTAGGGTTCTTTGTGCAATGCCTACTGTAAATTTCATAAAGCATGCTCAGATTGCATGTTCAGATGTCTCTTTGGAGATACAAGAAAGAATCTCTCACTAGTCTCTCAAGATCTGAACAAGGCCAAGGGCAAATGGAGAATAAGCTCTTTGGGAGAAGGAACACAGTGGCTTGTGACATATGACATGGAATCAAAAATGGGGGCACCAAAAAAAAAAAAAGTGTATTTTAAACTGTTAGTAAATAGAACTGATTTAACTATGCATTTTTAACTGTGAGTTAAGTGGATTTAACAAGGTACTTAAGCATGCACCTAATTTTAGGGAGTAGCATACACTCAAACTTAAATTTGAGCACATGCTTAAGTAACTTGCTGAATTGGGTCCTGAGTTTGCATCTAACCCAGACTTTTATAGACGATATTAAATTAGCCATCTCTCCTATTTTTAGTTCTTAGAACAAAAACAATACTGGGCACTTATCTACTGTCATTGCTTTTTAAAATTAAATGCAACAATAATGCAAATATTTTAATAGATGCTGTTGTAATATATACTTCAGCTCTTCTGAGCATTAATACAGTTATGCCAAAACATGTCAGCTTTCCCCTGCAATTCAAAAACTTTTTAATCTATATTTCATAAATATAATAGTGCCCCTTCAAAGCACATCACTGTGTATTGTTAAACACATTTATACACATCACCAGAAATTGACTAGAAGCAATAAAATAAAGATCACACATTAAGAGCAGTCCCAGTAGGGGCACCTCCATTGGTTAAAAAATAATAATTCACTTGCCCCTGACATTAGTTGGAGGAGAATTGCCATGTATGTATCATCACTAGATAGTTTCTCTCACTGTTGTACCTGCCTTAGTGATCTCTGTGAGTGAACATCCCAGCCTTGATTAGAAATTCACACACCACAGTTGTCACAAGGCTAGTAAAAATGAGGGAGAGTGGTTTCTGTATGTGCAATACGCACAGGAAAAATCTGTGATTTCCTTACATTTTCCAATAAAGACAGACAAGCAAAAAGACAGATGGACCGACAAGCCATAAGTGAAGGATGTGCATGTAGCGCACAGCTTTGAAAAATAAGTTTCTCTGCAGAAAGGTTATCCAGAAGCATATTGCGATTTCCTCACCTTTGTTTTTATTATGGCAATAAGTCATGACAGTAGGCACCAATGCACACCGATCATCAGGTTGGAGGCTAAGTGCTTCCCACTCCCCGAGAAGTCCAATGTCCTATTAAGACACATTGTTGTGGTTTATCGCTATTCAAATATGGCTATGTCTCAGTTAGAAAATAAAATCAACTAAAGATAGTTTTGTGCAATGCATCCTTTCACTAGGACTAGCAGGTCCTAGTAAAAGGATAAAAAAAATAGGAGAAAGATTATAAATACCCTCACCCAGTTAGTTGGAGTATATATGGTTTGTACAATTTTGCTAACCCCTTCTTATTTTCATTTAGTTTATTTAAGATGTCCTGGACTATGCCTTGCTATCCTCCTGAAACCCTACTGCTCTTTCAGCGGTAGTTTATAGCCTAACAGCCACTTTCTTTTATATAAAAAGAAAATGTGGTCTATTAACTGGCTCCCAGTTTAGCTTTTACACTAGAAAATGGGCTATAAGTGGCTGACAGAGCCACAAATTGTTTCCGATAGGGCACCTTGGAACTTCGGATTGAAGGACAGTTCAGAGCGTCATTTTTCCCCCTTACGCATGCTCTCACCCCCGCCCCAATTACTTCTCTTCATCTCCCCCATTGATTTTGTTTCCCTGCCCCACCACCATTTTTTCCCTCCTCACCTACTGACCATAATGAACGAAAGGATTGGTTTGGGGGTTTTTTTGGAAAGTTTAAATGAAGTCCCCTTGGTGTACGTTTGGACTTAATGTTCAGCACTGACATCATCTGAAAAGGCCAGCCACCCCATGACATCATCTAAAAAAGCCAACCATCCATTCGTGATGCATCTTTGGGCAGTCTATCCCTAGCCAGACTCCAGTGCAATTTACTCAGTACG